CACACACACACACACACACACACACACACACACACACACACATATACATTTCGTAACATTGCTGCTCAGCACTGAAGATACGACGAACAGATGTCATAGGCACTGTTGCCACTTGTCTCTTTTTCAAGAATAGACATTACGTTACCTCCCGTAGGAACAGATCGAAATAGGACGTATATAATGTATCGAGTGCACAGGATATATATATATATCTTAACCTGCGCGATATATATCAGACTAGGAACACAGTGTAGTGAACTCCATACGTAATTACTAATTCTAAATCTATTGCATATTAATGCGAATATACTATCACTCGATCGGGCCGAAGCATTAATTCTCGTTCTTGTGTGATGTCCAGGATTTGAAGGATTATATGAGACAAGCTGGAGAAGTGACCTATGCAGATGCTCATAAGCAACGGAGGAACGAAGGGTAAGAGGACATTCATTACGTTGACATATGTGATTGAATAAATAGTAATAGGCATGGGTGTGACTCGTTTTTCCTCAGTTATTTGGGAACAAGATCAACACAGACGCGCGCTATTTAATTACTGTTTCAAGGGGAAAACTTTTTTTTAAATAGTAATTTAATTTTTATAAATTATTCGGAAGACTCACAATTTTTTTTTACTTTTTCAAGAATGAAACCATTTTTCCCCACTATTTTTCATATTTTAAACCGCTCCCATGTCTGTAGCAGTTATTGTTAGCAATAATTTTTTCACGTATAATCACAACACACGCGAACAATTAATTTACAAACAGTTTTTTGACTGAAATACTTGATTTTGTAGAGTTGTTGAGTTCGCGACATACTCTGATTTGAAGAACGCTATCGATAAGTTGGATGACACCGAACTGAATGGACGCAGGATTAGACTCATCGAAGATAAGAGACGCGGCCGTCGTTCGAGATCGTCTAGCTCGAGATCACGCTCAAGATCTCGATCAAGATCTCGTCGTCGGTCGCGTTCCCGCTCAAGGTATAATCGTCGTTCTCGATCCCGATCAAGGTACTGTCGGGGCGACATTTCGTCACCTATTATTTTTTCTATTATGATTTTCTTTCATTTACGTATGATTGGTTGCAGCGTGATCGTTTTTTTTTTTTTACAGTTCATTTATTGTATTATGTTACAGTCCATTGATACAAATCGATTAATGTTATTATTTATTATGGGCTCAAGTTGCATTTCTGTCATTATGTTTATTTTTATTATTTTTTCACGCGTGTTGAGAAAATAATTTACTATTTAAAATATTATGTTTCATTTTTGTCACAAGTTAAGTTTCAAATATATTTTTGTCAAATTGTTTTATCCGTCATACGATGAAAATCAGAGATCTTTTGTGCACACTATCGCAAAATTGATCACATTAAAAAGATTGTTTTGCGACGAAAATTAATTTAAAACGCCAAATATATCTTTCATCGCTACTCGCGTCTTTTACCGCAGAAGTCGCCGCAGTTCCCGTAGTCGCAGCCGTCGCAGCAGCCGTTCCAAATCAAGAGCACATTCGAAGTCCAAATCCAAGTCTAAATCCAAATCTCCGGAGCGCAGCCGTTCCCGTTCCAAATCCAAGTGAGTAAAAATATGTCGTCTCATCAGGATCACCTTTCTTACGCCACATTTATTTCGTCATTTAGCCGTTTCGTTCCCACTCATAGTTCTGTGTATTTGTTTCACTTGTTTTATATTTTTTTCTTGCGCAAAATGTCGATCGTCACGATCAATCAACGTACACTCTCATTCCCATTTGTTATATTGGCAATGTTTTTGGGCTGGCTATGTGCCTTGAGCTCTCACGCTTGATCACGCTTACACGCGATCACTCACTCACCGCGCGCGCTTGGAAAACAAAACAAGAGAAAAAAAGCGAGTTTCTTTGTATTTAGTCACTCTACTTTTTTGTCCCCCTTTCATTTTGAACTATAATTTTGCAGATCAAGAGACCGCTCAAAGTCGAAATCTAAGTCAAAGTCCAAATCCAGATCTCGTTCTAGGTCCAAGGCTGAGAGGTCAAAGTCCAGGTCGCAGTCCAAATCCAAAGCCAAGTCTCCCTCAAAGTGAGTTCCTATCGATGAGTTTACGGCTTTGTTCTCTCTGATCGAAATACCTTGGCGCAAGAAAAATTATGTATCGTCCATCAACGAAGACGCGAACGAACTCTTAACCGTTCTTCTTTTCTTTTCTCGTTTTAGGGATAGATCGAGCCGCGAACGCTCGCGAGGTGACAGATCTAGGTCACGATCGGGAAGCAAGCACAGCAAGAGCCGTAGTCGTTCCCGTTCACCCATGAATGGTGACAAGTCACCCGAGAGCAGCAAGCAGAAAGCAGACTGAGCGAACGAGAGACACATTTTGACAATTGATGGATTTCGATTTATATTCATGTAACATTGTAAAAAATAAGTAAACTATACTCGCAAATACATCTGTAAGTTAGACTTCACGCTGTAAAATGCTTCTTGAACCACTTCATTTTTATTTTCTTATGGGAGTTACGATGTTGAATTTTTACTTTGTTCCCGAGAAGTGTTTCTTGTACTATTGCGTTCCAGTGTAGTTTTAAGTAAACTGTAGTTATAAAATAAACTAAGTTAACTAGTTAACCGAGTGAGTTAAACTTACTAGTTAACTTAAGTTAACTATATATATTCCGCGCCTAACTTCATATGTTGTGTACTGATAGTGAGCAAAGAACAAAATTGAAAAAAAAAATGAAAGTGGAATTAATTAGAAATAGAGTATTGGCTTACCTTAATACAAGTTTTTACAAACAGATGAAGTATACCTTACTGTTTAATTTAGAGCATGTGTCGTTTTTAAGTCTTATTAAAGCTTTTAAGAATATATTCTAACTTTAGAAGGAATATATTATGATTATATGAAGGTATCTCTTATTGTTACATGATTTATATTGAAAACTTATAAGTTCGCTCAAAAATATGAATAAACCACTCTTATAACTATATCTGTGGTTCGAAAAGCATCTAAATGCGTGAATTGCTTAAGTTGTATCGTTAAGAGAAATAAGAATAAAGTAAAAAACCAAGAAGTGAGTTGATTCAAGTTGGCAATGATGTGGATTATTAATTAATAAGTCGATTCAGTTCTTACATTATCCTCGAGTTACGTCGTATCAAGATGGTTCGATACGAGTTATAGTCAAACATTTAACGGATCTCGATTTATATTTGTCTAATATTGTAAAAAAAAAAGAAATTTTATATCTGGAAATATACTGATAATATATAAATAAGAAACCCGTGAACCTCAATCTGTAAAACACTTTTTGGACCGTTTATCGTTGTTTTTAGCCAAGTTTTAGGTTATTGAATTTTGGTTAATTAGGATAGAATAAAAATGCGATCAATCTGCCATGGAACTACTGAAAATAAAAAATCCTTATAATTTGTCGAATTACACCAAGACTTTGATTTTTCGTTGGGAATGATAGTAATTCGTAGCCACTGAAACATAAGTATACTAGGGACGAAAAGCGTATATGAGCTAAAAGAGAGCGATACTTTAAAATTGGTCCTTTTATTTGCTTCATTTTTCAAGGTCCAGTATTTCTTCCAGTATGTATATATTTCAATGCTTGTAGCGGGGGAGGATTTAGAATCAATTTTGCTAAGTCATACACTAATCGAGATTCGAACTTTAGTCGAGACTCGAACCATAAGTAGACTTAATTTCTTCACACACCATTAGATGGAGCCAAACAGTCCATTGAGTGAGTGTGATTTTTCCCTGGTGAAGTACATAATGACGTTAAAATTAATTCCAAGATTTCTGTAAGTTTCTGTCTACAATAGATGCTTTAAACTCTAAAAAATTGACCAATCACAGTCGATTGTTCTTCTTACATTCAACTATGATTGGTCACTTTCTTAAAACACCTACCTTTTGTTCACAATCTTGTTTTAAGACGTAAGCAGTAATCAAATTGACCAACCACGGTCGTTTATTCGAAGAAACTGAGGCTTACGAGCCGTTATTAGTTTGGCTATCTGGATATGTAGTGGGAAACAAAACGGTTTGGACGCAACTAAGTTCAGAGCACAGTCGATGATCCACCGAGAGAACTTATTTTTGACTTAACTCGTTCTCTCGTTGGACCATCGGCTGCGCTCTGAATTTAACTGCGTCCAAACCATTTTGCTCCCCACAAAATCCAACGGACTGTAACTCGGCAAAAATGAGGGTAATAAAATGGCTCGAAAAGTGTTCTATAGTTTGAAATTTCTAGGTTTCAGATATATTAATTTATACACTTTATTCGTCTAGGACATAAAGACGTCCTCTGGATATTTTTAGGACGTCCCTTGGAGATCTGTGTGGTGTATGGGAAAATCGTAATATTGCTGTTGCTTTTTGCCAACATATCGAATTGAATGAAAAATAGTGATCGTTCAATTTTCAATCTCATCTTACGTGATAATTTTTACATAAAAATATTATTTGCACAGTCGACATATTAATGACTGTTTTTACTATTACAATTTAAATTTAATCGACGATTAACTCAACAAAATTAACCAATCGCATTAATTAGTTCAGCTAATTGGCCAATACAATTGGTAAATTCCGTTCAGTTAATCATCGATTAGATTTAAACTGTGATAGTAGAAATCTAATCGTCGAATAGATTTAAACTGTGATAGTAGAAAAGAACATAAAAGTTGCAACACTTTTTTTTCGATGAGTTTCGCGACGCATTGTATCCAATAGAAAAATATATTTCCTGAAAATTACTAAAAAACGAATTGTCTTATCGGACACAGAAGCATTGCGAAATTTGCCGAAAAAAGTGTCAACTTTTAATCTGCCGATTATATGTTACTTAAAAGGGGAAAAAAGTTAAACTATTCATTTGTTAACGAACGTAGACCGCCGATCCATTTGCTTTTAATGAGTGGTCGAAAAGACCATTTGTTTCAACATATTGAATAACTCTGTAATAAAAAATATTGCACCGTAATCTGTGCAAACGGCACTTTCAAACGGTGTAAACACCATTTGTACGTGATCGTTCACACGGTACAACTCGACATCAACATTCATCAAACTTTATCAAACATTTTGACACTAGACGGATTTCTAGTTGTGTAACATTGTAAGAAAGAAGCAAACTCGATAGCCGAAGATATGCGTGAGACTAGAGACCGTGCTGTAAGATACTTCTTAAACCACCTTGTCGTTAAATACCTTAAACCATATTTTTACGAAAGCTCGTTAAAATTCCTCAATTTTTCATGATCAATCGAGCTTTTTATATTGAATCAATACAATTCAACGACAAAGACAAAAAGGAGCTTTGTTTTCGAGTACCGTGACTCAACTATGAATAAAAAAAAACTGTCGTCGTTCGATGACGCGCCGGACAGGAAGGATCTCGGACCGATCGTCGCGTATCGTTTACTTAACTTTCGTCGGCGCACAAACCGCGAAGACCGTACACCCGGATCGCCGAGCCGGGCGAGAAATTGCGAACCGGTTTCGCTCCTCGGTGGCGATCGGCCTCGTTGGACTTCTCTCCACCGGAATCACACAGCCGGGCGAACATATGACGCGCAGCTGGGCCTGAATATAAGACCCGGCTGACTCACAGGCGCGGCACGCGCCAACCCCCGGATATTTCGGGTTTCCCCTTTCTGTTCCCGTATATCACGCCTGGAATAGAGCGATCCAGTTGGCGGGCGAGGGAGAGAATCGAGACAGGAGCGAGCTGGCACTGCAAAAAGATCGTCGCCGAGGAAGCCGAGCAAAGCCTACCGTCGTTCAATGTCAAACCCGCGGCGCCGTCGCACGTGAATTCCCCGGCCGTCGTCGTCGTCGAGGGTGAGTCAGCCACCCCCGGATGACGGTCAAGGAGACGATCGGAAGCAGCGGGTGCGATTGAACGGCACGACCAGGGAGTGTAAGAGCCGCCCGCTCATTGGTCCCACTCCTGGAAGCGGTGGGGTTCATCTCAGGGACGAAGCAAGTACTCGTGGGTTCCAGACGCTGTGAAGGAGTTGGAAAAAGTACGACGAGTAATATTTCAAAGATATTTACGACAGATGTAGTATAACGAGAATGAAAACTCCTCTTTGCCAATCCTAATTTTCGCTGAACGGAGCATAGAATGTAATCACGAGTAATTTTTATTATATTAATGTTGTTTTTGTAACATATTAATTGCACATTTATTAATTACCCATTATAAACAAGGAAATGTACCCTTTGGTATGTAGAAAGAATGCACATAAATTGTTTACAATTATTCTTATTATTCTTTATAGAAATCCGCACGAACGCTTCGACGCGGTCTTGAATATTTTACATTATTTTCAGGAGCAACATTTCGGAACCCTTTTATCGCGCCGGCCCTGGGCAATGGGGGTAGAGAGGGACGACGAGATAGAGGAGGGATGCAGACGCCGCTTGACGCTGTTACCTGGTGTTACGTGCCGCAGAAGCGTCAACCGGCCAGCCAGTGTACCGTCTACGGCCTGCCCTTGAACAACGCTCACGTTTGCGACAGTGCCCGCGCCAGCCTGCGCCCTCGCATCTGACAGGTCAGTGCACCTCCCCGACCCGGCGCAAGTCGCATCGTCGAGAGTAATTTCGCCGGCGCGATAACGGCCGCGTGCAATGGCGGATATCGGCTCGATCGAACACGCAAATCGAACAACCGGCATCGGGCCGGCCGGCCTCCATTCCTCCGCGGACTGTCGTGTGTCGTTCGTTGCTCCCTCGCGGGGGCCGACGTCTGAGCTTCCTCCTTCCGTCGATGATCTTCCCCCGGATGCAAGTAGGTCGTGCGAATCGAGAAACACGATTTCGAGATCTGCCATTGGACGTGAACGATTGGCGACGGGACACCATGTATACGCGGTGTCTCCGTTCGCGCGAGAACCCGGCGAGACGTTTTCTCCCGTCTCGACGCCGCGGACGCTGAATTAGCGGGATTCATTCGAGATGTTTTCACCGGCGTTATCGATCGATTCTCGTTTTGGCGACGTTTTCACTGAACATCGTTATCACGCGAGGGCGCAAAGATCCCTTCGATCCCGATTTGTCCGGTTTTGATAACGGACGAGGGGGAACGCGATCGCTTCGCTTTCCTGTGGCCATCTTACGAGAAACCCGACTTTTGCGAACGCCCACTTCCACAGTGATAATGATAAGGCGGCGTTTCTAGGAAATCGCGCGACTTCGAGGTTATGTGCTGGGCTCAGACGAGATATCGATCGATCGGTCTTTCGACGACGAGGCGCGATCGAAAATGGACCCAGGGGTGTGGTCGGGAGGTCGCAGCTTCTCCTCTCGTCGGACGGAAACTCGGCCTCGCGTGATAGTGATATCTCGAATGAATGACGAGATTTCTCACGAAATCTTCGAATGCGAGAGAGACGTGCGGCTCCGATGCGTTCTCAATTCCGGTCGGTCGATTGCAAAAGTAACATCCTAGCCAACTACATTTGCCAAATTTTTTTACTCGGCTTGCATCCTGTGGCGCAAACAAATCTCGCGATGATCGTTCGCGAGGAACGCGTCTCCTGCAAGGCACTCGTAGATTCCTCATCCGTCCCGACGGGTGATTCTCCGTCTGCGTATGTATGAGATGCATTCTAATTGGACGAGCGAGCCGATAATAAATTAAATCGAGTCGCACGGGGGAGATCGTTTCGTTCGCGGGAAAAGGCAATCCAGAGGCTCGCTCGTCCTTCGCACACGAACGGGCAGTGTGGCCTGGCAGGATGGGACAAGGGCGTGGTTTTGACAGATGCATACGGCCCTCTCCTCTCCCCCTCTCTTAAGGAGCACACGCATTATATACGTCTTCCTCTCGTCGTCAATATAACGCGCATTTTCCGACCTCCGTGCGTTCGCTGTTAATCCTTTGTAACCGCATAACACGATCTTGGGACGTCGTATGTTAAGATTCGGTGTTGAATCGCGGATACAAGAGATTAATTTAATATCGATGTACCTCTCTATCTCTCTCTGTTATGATGACATTTACCTTGGTGTTATCTTAACGTTCTCAGCGTTGTTTGTGTACGTGTGTACACCGACATTAGAATATTAGCTTAATTCAATCTTTCATATTAACCAATGTATCATTTGAGATGGAAATTAATGTTCATTTGTAGATAATATATCCCAATTCCGGGTAATATTGCAATGATTATTTGTGACTTGGATCGAGGGAACCGTGTTTGCAGAGAAACGGAATAATACGCGAGGATGTGCGCGCGGTGGATTTTCGCGTTTCCCCGAGGGAAAATCGACGTCGTGGCATTTGATCGTGGGCCGAGTGCGGCGGCGGTGGCCGCTTCAAGGCGAACGAGAGGGGCTCCTGTGCGAAGCGCAACATTCCGCGAGTCGCTTCCACACGATGCACGATCGCGTTTATTCCGGCTCGTGCGATTAGCGTCACCCAGATTGCTTCCATTCCGCAACACAGTGCGCGGTGTTACTAGGCGTTAACGTACACCCGTTACACTCGCCGCTCCACACTTCGACCGCCACGTCACCCCGGCTGACGTCTGCCTTTCCGCGCCGACACTTGTGCGCGCGGATGACGATCTCGCTTTGAGTCTCGCATTTATCCCTTGTAATTACGCAGGCAACGCCAACCGATATATGCTGGAATGGAACGTCTTTCTTCGCCGCCTCGTGATTTCAATTCTCGCGTCTCCGAACGATTTTATACGTTACCGCGTTGAAATGTTTTCTGATTCGCGTTCAAAATCTCAGGCGAGAGAAACTGTTACAGTTTAACCTTGTCGAACGACAAGGTGAATTTTCCACGTGTCCAGGAAAAGAGTTGGATCCGATTCTATGCTTTATTTTGTCAATTTTTTTTTTCATGTAATCCATGTACAAAATGGGTAAAAGAAGTAAATGAATAATAACACGAGATATTCTTTAAGAAAAGAGACAGCGCGTATACGCGTAAAAATAAACAAACCGTGGGTTCGCATTTGACTCGAACCTTGTGATTAGAAATTTAATAATGCGACTAAATATAACGATAACCTTGGCGACTTTTCAACAGTTTGACGGTCGCTGACTCAGGCTTTTTTTACGCTCAGATGTTTGTCGAAAGTTTTCTGAAGAGCCTTGAAGCGACTTTCAAGAAAGCGCAGGTGTCACTCGGACGCGTTTGCCGTGGCAATCGAAGCGCGATAAACGTGCGCTCTCCCCGAGCCCTCGTTCCCCTCTTCAAGACGCGATAAGTGCGATATTAGCTTTTGTGCGTTGGAATTCCCATAAACTTCTGAAATTGAAGGAAAACGAAGGAGAATAACTGCTTCATCTACGAGTCCCCCAAGTCGACCGTCTCGATAAATTTTGCATCCCACGTCCGCATACGGAATGCACCTGAATTCACACCTCTCTCTTTCTCTCTCTCTCTCATTAATTTTGTCTGTCATTCAAATTAAACACGGTAAATTTGCATACCGCTCGAGCGCGTTCGCCCGTCGATACGCCTCTTTACATCTGGGGCTACAAGAAGTATCCAAATTCCCGAGCAATCGGCTTATCTTTGTAGAAGAACGGGAAGTATCCCTCGTAATCTCGACATCACAGATATTTCATTTTCCAGGAAAGACTTCCGACTCCTGGACAAGAGGCGTCTCGGCTCGCAGTTATCGCGACGGTCGTTATCCCGAGATCGTTGTCAGACTCGGTCGAGAGTCACACTCATCGTCCCGGCGGTCGACGTTCGACTTTCGGCTCTCCGCCGAGGGAAACCGCCCTCTCTCACCCGTGACCATGAAAACTCGGGGGTCGACGGCGCGCATATAGATATCCGCGGAGTTCACGAACCCCACTCTCTCCGGACGTTGCCGGCAATGCCAATCGATGAAACCGTCTGCCGCGGCGGCCGCCACCGCGAGGCAGCCGCTCCCCTGCGTAACCTCGGAACTGCTGCCCCCCTCCCCCGTTCGTCGTGTGCGTGCACGCGTGTATATGTACTATCATCCATTCATGCGTCGCGGATAAAAGTGCGCGCGGGTGTCAATGTTGACGGGGGCGGTGGTTGCTTTCGCCGGGGATCGCCTTCTCGGCGGTCGAAGTCCAGTCGATCGGCGCATTTATCCGGTTTATTAATAATCGGCGCCTTTTGACGCTCCCAGTGATGCACCACGTATTCCGAACCTCTCGAATAGCTATCGCGACAAGCGTCTCGGGTGGCCCCACGTTACCACTACCACCGATGGCGTCCTCCCGGCTGGACAGTATCGGAACACCCGATAATTCGGACGGTACCTATGTACCGTCTCGTACCTATGTACGTCCCTGGCAGTACGCGCCACCGCTCGATACGATACGCGAGTCCAGGGTTCGTTAGCCGTCACGGTCGCACGGAAGAGAACCGAAGAGAGAGAAAGAGAGAGACAATGAAAAGGGGAAAGGGTGAGGAGGGGAGGGGAAGTGAAAGAGAAAGAGAGCGAGCTGCGGCGCTGTTCGCGTGCGAGCGGTCCGACGATCGCGGCGTATTTTCCAGCTACGAACGCGCGCGCGGTTTCACGTGGGCTTTTGTATGCGCGGCCGCGTAGGTGCAGTCCACCGTTGCAGCCCACACCGGTCGATACCGGGCGCACGCTGCTGCTGCGCTGATGCACGTGTGGACGCGTGGCGAGGATGAGAAAGAGAGAAAGAGACAGCACCACCATTAAACGCGATTGCCCAAGTTAATTGGCAAGCCGCGCGCGAACTCGTTAGCCAGCGACCGTAGGATCTCTCGCTCCGGAGCCGCGACAATGCGTCGCGGCAGAATCTCTCTTTGCCCCTCGATCCCGATCTGATGATGGCCGTGGAACATGTATACAGAGAAAGAAGCCTATATACGTGGCCATTTTCAATAATTAATAACTCGACATTTTGCATGTCATTTGTCATGTTTGTCATGTCCTCATCAAGTTTGCCTCTGTTAGTCTGGGACGCCCTGTATACAGAATGTCTGATCATTTTCTCGGGATCCGTGGTGTGCAAGTAGAACAGGTGAAACTAGACATAAAAATCATGTACCATTTCGCAATAGTTAATGAGGAATTAATTAATTTATATGAGCTAATGAGCTCATGGGAAGCGGTAGGCCGGACTCTACATAAAGAAAAATGGTTTACTTCTGAAGATCTAGCAACGATGGGTATCAATTAATAGCAAGAGGCGTGTTTCTTCTCGGCGTGCAACCTTGTGTCACATGCCCTCTGCTCGTTACGCCTCTAGGAATCAGTTGATGCTCACCGTTGTTAGGAAATCTTCAGAAATAAGCAATTTATATATATGCATTTTTATATCACATATATAATTAAGATGCAGTTTTACTTCTATCTGCTTTTCGGTAACTCTTTCGAGCCATGGCGACCGAAAAAAAAACTAAAATATATTTAAAACTTTTATATCTATGAAAATAATTTCATAATCTTATCGGATAACTTCACTCTGACAAGATTCGATGATCCGTGCTTGCATTTCCATATTACGTAAGCTACGTCATAGCTCAGTTGAGTCAACTTATCTCGAACGATCATTTTGAATAAAAGAAATTGTATTT